ACATGTGATGAGACAATGGACTTCCTCTGGAATTTCTCACAGATCAACGTGCCAGACACAGATACCTGCTTCTTCTCCCTGAATCCACAGCGACCCCCACACAGATACTGACTCATTCCTGAATGTCCCGCCCACCCCCTGCAGCTGAGACTTCCTCAGTTGAATGTGTGATGATCCCTGCTGCGGAGACTTCCTCAGTTCAGGCCCCCGCCCTCACCAAACACCTGAATAAAGAGATGTCCCTCCCTCCCTGGAAGCGTGAAATTAATTGGCCCCACCTTTTGGGCCAGTGGGTCTCCCCCGAGAAAGCAAATAAACTTCTCCTTTTTCTTTCTGATTCACTTGGTTCTCTTTGTTTTCCTCGCTGCTTTTCTGGGCCACCTCACAATTATGACATGCTAGAATTGGTCTATGGCATACTATAACTATATTCTTGAAATGTAGTTGAGTAGTATGTCTAATGCATGTGAGAGTTTTATATGACTACTACATTTTTAAAACTTTATTTTTATTGTTGACACTATTACATATGTCCCCATTTCCCAACTTTGCCAACTTCTACCTATCCCCCACCTGCCTTTCCCTCTGGCTATCACCACAGTGTTATCTGTGTCTATGTGTAAAACATATATATTTGGTTAATCCTTTCACCTTAATTTATCCAGTCTTTCCCTCCTTCCTGTCCTCTGACAGCTGTTTGTTCCATGTATGCAAACTACAGTTTCTATTTTGTTCTTCAGCGTTTTTTGTTCATTACATGCCACATATAAGTAAGAGCATATGATATCTTTCTTTTTCCAACAGGCTTATTTTATTTTACACAATAATCTCTAGGTCCATCTGGCACAGATATGTTTTTGGAAGATGGTTGCCTTTACTCATCTCCTCACTCTTTTTTAACTTTATTTTTATTGTTGACTCTCTGAATACCTCTACTGTGTTTATGTGTGTGATTTTATTATTTTTTTCTATAAGAGGTAAGGGCATAATAAAAGACCAATATTTGACAGAGGAAGTGCTCGCAACTGCTCTCAGGGTACATTTTGAATCTCTGATCTTTTGGCAACAAAGGTTGCATGGAAGTAGAACATTTCTTCTGATTGGTGATGGGCCTTTGAAACTTGTGGTTCCAATCTCAAAAACGTGTCAGGTATGACCCCGGAAAAAAGATATTGAAGTATTATTAACATTTCTGTCTTACTCACTTTCTGAAATTATTCCCTCACTTTGGAGGAATTGTTTCCTTCTTTATTTTATTTAGTCAATAAAATGAGGAAGAAAAAGGCAAGTCTTGCTCCTGTATTTTCCTGTGTACCTAGTATTGGATCTTGTTACTTATACCGTGGAATTTAATGGTAACTTGATGGCTCAATGACCATCATCCTCAACTCTAAGAGCTGAGTAATTTTGGAAAATATTTTCCTCATTTTCTTGTCTCTAATTGATGCTCTCCATTTTTATTTGTTATTAATTTTTTCATGAGAAAGCCCCATGGGGAGGCAGTCCAGCAGAGAACCCAGTCAGGATGGGAAGTGGTGGGGGGCAAAGAGGGAAGAGAATGTTGAACCAGTCCATCAAGGAAGGATAGAGCAGCAGGGAGCAGTGGGGTAGCATTGATAAGACCTCGTGACCAAGAGCCTGGAGCAGTGGTTCTCAACCTTCCTAATGCCATGACCCTTTAATACAGTTCCTCATGTTGTGGTGACCCCCAACCCATAAAATTATTTTGTTGCTACTTCATAACTGTAATTTTGCTACTGTTATGAATCGTAATGTAAATATCTGATATGCAGGATGTATTTTCATTGTTCGCGACCCACAGGTTGAGAACCGCATACGGTATGGCATTTCCTGTGTGACTGGTATGTCAGGTTTGTCCAAGACCTGCTCAAGTCCTGTGACTTAGAACTCACTTCATAGACATTTAATATTTTATTTTTATTCTTTCCATGGGATTTGATTAATATAAAGTTAATTATGGCATAGGTTAAAGTGGAAACCAACATCAAAGAAGGTTATGTTCAGTGCTTGATGTAGATGTCAATGGAGAGTGTATAAGCATGTTTAACTTCCAGAAAATAAATGGTTTTATATCCTTTAATTCAGTGACTTTGTCTAATTTATACAACAATGCTATGCTGTTACCTGAATTGACTTAACATATATCTTTGGTAGCAACCACAGAACTTACTAAATTGTACAAACTAAATAATAAAAGCCTCAAAAATGATTAAGACCTAATATTTTTAAATTTATGTTTCCATTCAGCAAAATACTCACTTTATGCCCGTCTTCATTTTTTGAATCATATTCTTGGACAAAAGTGAGCATTCAGTCACTGTGTGTGTTCATGCGCCTTCCAGTAACATGTGTGTGTACATTTATCTTCATTCTTATAATTTGAATTTTAAAAGTAAATTTATGAATAACGTTTAATTGTCTGTGTTTTTGTTACCTTGATTTTACATGGGTCTTTCCATTTTATTTTTCAGATAGTCTTCGGAATAAATTTGGTAAATTTTTGACAACTCTTTATGCTCATAACTCTTTAAATTACTGCTGACATTCCTGCTTTTTTATCTACCCTTTGGCTTACCCTTTTTCCTTCTCGCTCCAATATTTTGGAGGTGGCCTTGACCCATGTGAACTTCTCTCCATATCCTTTTCCTGACATTGCATCCTTTCCCATTCCTTCATTTTCATTCCATACCATTCCTTTTCCATAAACATTAGCTTCTTATGTCTCCATTGATTTGCTATAGTTTCATTATGAATGTTGTAGTGATGAAGGGGATGAGACTGAAAGCCAAATCTCTTTCATCCTATGAATAGTTACTGAATACAATCTGTGACATAGACTTCTGTTCTTTGTCACTCAGAGGGACTTCAACTACTGTTCTTTCACATTCTATATAAATTCAGATGTAATGTCTTCATCTAATATGAGTTTTCAGGTAAATTCTCTGATTTGCCTTGATCATATTATTCAAATATTCCCAGATATAGAAATATTTTACACAATATTTTGTGGACGTTTTCTTTCCATTACAGTAATTTTATTTCTTTTTTTGCACTTTCATGGACACAGTTATTAGCTATGCACATTGTAATTCTTTTTAATGTTTTTAGAAGTACTCCATAACTTCAGTGAAGATCATTGATAATGTATCTCTCCAGTATGAAATTTTATGTTAGTGATATAAGAAGATGTTATCCTTGCATAATCCTAAAGGAACTTTTAGTAAAACACTAATTAAAAAAATTAAAGGTTTTACATACCCATTCTAATGATACTTTATAATTATATTTTTGTTTTCAGGAGAAATAGAATTTATCAATATATCCTTACACTTTGTAGTAAGCTACAGAAGGCTACTGCTGCAATAACACATTTGCATAGATAGGACCTTTCCTGTTTCCTCGTCACTTTTTAACTACTTATCTCAGATATCGGTACATGTTTTAATTTTACTCTGAAAAACTTTAAAGGTCCATGCAACTCAATGAGTGCTGTTGTTTAACCCAGAGGAATTCCTAGTCCACCTCCTCTCACGGCAACATTTTGAATCTTAGCTCCTTTGGCACCAAGCAGTGTATGGAAGCAAAACTACAAGCTCTAATTTGGGAGGTAGACTTTCAACCATGTGGTTTCAATTCTCATAAATACCTGTCATTGGAATCCCAAAGAAAACTAAGCATTGTTTCAGGTTTTTGTACTCACCCCTTATTAATCTTGTGCCCTCATTTTCAATGAATAGGAATGTTCTCCCATTTATTTTTCCGTTAGTGGGAAAAGGAAAAGCTTGCCTTTAACCACTTCACTGTGTACCAGTCATGGTCACATTGTTTCCTGTATCTTTGTCTTCCACTCGCAACATCTTCCTCAGTACACTGTGCATTTAATGTACATGATTTGTCCTGTTAATCTTCCCACTGAAGTCACCATCTTCATTTGTTATTCGATTTCCTTGATTTTACTTCTGTGATTTCTCCATACACTCTAAGCAAATATTTGTGTCAACTAACTTTTATTAATCTTTTATCTTTAAAGTATTGGCATTCTAAAGTTTCTACCGGGTGCATATGCATCAATGTATGCTTATTCATTTAATTTATAACCATTTCACCCTCATTTGATAATTAAATATTTTATTTTCATGTGATTTAATTAAGAAGTTCAACATTAAGGCATAAATGAAAGTTGATTATATATATGTTGTAACACACAAACAACTTATTATAACTAGCAAACTAAATGATAATAGCCCAAGTTATGTCAAAGAGAGCAAGAACATTATCAATAGATAATTATCACAACACATATTCCAATATTTTATTTTAATTGAGAAAGTATATTTAAAGCCTTTTGTAGGTGTAGAACAATACTCTGAACAAAAGGGAGTTCTCATCAACCTTGTGTGTGTGTGTGTTTATTTTCATTCAAATAGGCAAAATTAAAATAGAAATTTTGCAAGAAATTTTACTTTTATTGGTGTTTGTTTTCTAATATATTTACCTTGATCTCTTCATTTTGTTTTTCAGAAAGCCCACAGAACAAGAATATTAAACTTTCAGGTACCCATTATACCCAATACTGTTTAAATGATGGGTATCTTGTTTCCTTTATGTTTGCTGCCTTTTACACTGTCTGTCAGCCATTGACATAAGTTTTTTTTTTTTTTTTTCTAGATTTCTACCCTTCCATTCCCAATAAATTGGTTTTGGACTTCTCCCACATTAGATCTCTCCACTTCAATTTCCCAACCTTCCGTTTTTTCTATTTCTTCCCTTATTTTTTATCCCATAAAATTTTCCCCTACCAACACGGGATTACACTGTTTTCCAAATTTGCTATAGTTTCTTTAATAAGTTGGTAAAATGATGGGCATTAGGTTGATAGGCCCATGGTTTGATTTTTTAAAAATCTTTGTGGAACACATTCAAAGATTGTGCCAGTGTCATCATCCATATTGGAGTGCTCATTTCTAGGCCACTGAAAGTTTCCTAACCTTAAAGGAAACAAAAATCCCTAAAATTCTGAGGAAATTTTGATCATACATTGCTTTTCAAAGCCTGTGTAAATTATCTTATCATTAATTGATCAGGGATGAACTTGAGGTATACTATTTTCCCTGCCCTTGTATACATTGCCCAAGTGATTTCAATGTACAAATATTGCCCATGATTATGCTTGGAAGATTTTTTCCAAAGAGAGTAACTGTTTTATGGTTTTGCATTTTCAATGACACAATTCTCATTTTGGAAAATTCATTTCTGATTAATATTTGTAGAAGAATTTCATATTGCACAGAGTGGTATTCTAGCTCCTTTCATGTTGTTATTTCCCATCATAGCCCCTTTGGCAACAGGGTTGTATGGAAGTTAAATAACATTTCCTCAAATTTGTGGGATGGTCTTTGAACACTGTGGGTTCAGTTCTCAGAAATACATGTCAGCATCGATGGATATAGAGGCTATTGTACTGAGTGGAAGAAGTCAGACAGAGAAAGACAAACACCATATGATTTCACTTATATATGGAATCTAAAGAACAAAATAAACAAAACAACAAAACTGAGGCAGATTCACAGATACAGAGAACATTTTGATGGCTTTCTGAAGGCAGGGGGGTATTGAGAAGTGGGTCAAAAAGTTGAAGACATTAAGAAACAGAAATTGGTATTTACACAGTAGTATTAGGGATGAAAATTACAGCATAGGGGATACTGAAAATAATATTGTAACAATTATGTGTGGTGCCAGATGGGTTTAGATTTATCACTTCGCAAGTTATATCAATGTCTAATAATTGGATTGTACCCCTAAAACTAATATGATATTGTACATCAATTATTAAGAGATTTAAAAAGATATTTTAAGCATTTTAAGAGAGAAAGACATTTAAAAAGATATTCATGTGAGTTCAGAGGAAGAGACACATATGGAAGGTTTGAAATTTCTATGCCCCATTTTGACATTTGCCTTTATTTGAAAATAATCCTTGATTTCTTCCTTCTATGTGAGGGAGAAAATTTTAATAATAATATAACTATTTTTATCTCTAATGTGATTTTTTCTTTACTGTTGACACTATCACAAATGTGCCCCCAATGAAGTCAATTTAATATAAATGTTTGTATATCTAGTCTGTTACTTGTAACTTCTTCTTCAACTACCAATGATCATCATTCCAAACCCAACACACACACATTTTTACATAATTTCCCCTTAATACTTATCTTTCACACTGAAGGTTTCCATGTTCCCTTGCTACTCAATTATAACCCATTATTGCTTGTTTGAATTGTTTGTTATGTTACCTATGCAGACATTCCTTTTGAGTCACCTAAATTCAATTTTTCCTACATCTTTACCATGGATTTATACTGAGTGAGGCTGATGTGTCAAAATTTGTCCAGGATTTACTGATGGGACTGCATTAACCCAACTGATTATCATGTAATACTTCATTCCTCTTTTTCCCTTTATGGACTTTAACTTAAAAGTGTTCTATTTAGCTGGCAGTTAAAATAGAAACTCACCTAATGAAAAGTTGGTATAAATGTTGTAAATAGAGTGGTCTAGGAATATAACCCTGTTGTACTTCTAGAGGCCTTAGTTCAAGATCCTCTAATATACTGTTTGTGGCTACTGTATACAACGTAGCTGCTGCAAACACTACATCTGAATATACACATTAATTAAGCCAAAACACTTATAAATCTTACACATTGAAAAATAAATCCTAACTAAAATAAGAATGGATAAGAAATACTGTAATAGGCAATCTTGAGAACTATTATTTATTTCAGTTAATCTACTCACTTAATGATCACTTACATTTTGAAAAGAGTATTCCCTGGAAAATATTGAGTTCTCAAACACTATTTCGTTCTCCTGTGTGTGTCTGAAACAGTGTGCATCTGTAGGCTATGGTGTGCATGTGTGTTTATTTGTAGCCTGATAGGTTAAATTTTAAATATAAATATGTGTGAAATTTGAGTTTTATTCCTATTTCTTCTACACAAGATTTACATTGTTCTCTATTTTGTTTTTCAGAAAATCGCGTGAAAAAATTTGGTAAATGTTTATAAAATCCTCATAACTCCAATAAATTGACTGCTCTCTATTGCCTTTAGTTCCCTTCTATTAATTTATATGGCATCAATAGGCTTTCTGTTTTCCCGGATCATTACATTTAATTAATTAACTAAGGTCTTCTGTAATATTAAATCTCTCTAATTTGGTATTACAATCTTCCACATATTTCCATTCCATTTTATGCATTCCAAACCATTGTTATCGTACCAAAATTGTTTTTTTTCAAAAAAAAAAAAAAAAAAAGCTATAGTTTCACTACGCTGGTGAAATGAAGGACATTAGTCTTACAGGAACAGGGACAGGTTCTCAATCTGTTCACTTTCCTGGAACACATTCAAATACAGGTCAACATCATTAATTCCATATATGAGTGATCATGTGATACTTTCCTGATCTTAAGAGATGTGAAATAAACCTAATATACTGACACATATGTATGATTCATTGGTTAAGTGTGAACCTGAGTCCTATTTTTCCATTGCCCTTGTACATATTTCCAGTGTGTTCACAGGCATGGAAATATTTACCACGGTGATCCTGGAAATCATTTTATGTGCAACCATACACCTGTTTTTCTCTTTGGCTTTTAATTAACACAATTTTAACATTGCTAAACTGCAGTGTCTGCTAATATTTAATGGGAGCATTTTATATCCATCAGAATTGTCACTGATCATTATAAATTTCTCAAGTCTCAAAATTTCAACTGAAATACTTTAAAATTATTACCTGGGAATGTTCCAAAAGATTTTTTCTACAACACAAATGTAATCTTTAGGGCTTACACACCCTCCTTGCAATGCCATTATTTTCATGATCATTTTGATTTGAAAGGGAGTACATTTCAGTAACATACCAAGGTAAAATGTATGGCAGGCTTGTTATGGTTGCTGCTACATGCAGCATTTTGAACAGATCTTTGCTTTTACTCTTTTCTTTCTTATGTACTTCTTCATTGTGATATTTACCTTGATCTCTTCATTTTTTAAAAAATATATTTTATTGATTTTCCACAGAGAGGAAGGGAGAGAGACAGAGAGTTAGAAACATCGATGAGAGAGAAACATCGATCAGCTGCCTCCTGCACATGTCCCACTGAGGATGTGCCCGCAACCCGGGTACATGCCCTTGACCGGAATCAAACCTGGGACCTTTCAGTCCGCAGGCCGACGCTCTATCCACTGAGCCAAACCAGTTTCGGCCATTTTGTTTTTCAGAAAGTCCAAAGCAATACAATGGTAAATTTTCTGAAACACATTTATTCCCAATCCTCTTTAAATGAGTTGCATTTTGTTTCCTTAATATTCTGTGCCTTTTACACTATCTGCCATCTATTGCCTCACTCTTCTAGATTTCTACCCTTCCCCTCTCAATAAATTGGTAATGGGTTTCTCTCACATTAGATCACTGCATTTAAATTTTACAACCTTCCATATTTTCCCAATCCTTTTTTCCCACTTCATACCATTTCTTTCTCAAACAACATTGCCTTTCTCAGTTTTTCCTTCCATTAGAAATTTGTGAGACACGGGGTGTTAAGTTGATATACATATGGTTTCTATTGCACAGCTCTTTCTGGAACACATTAGCTTTCCTCTTACATGTCTATGCTTACCTTCCCAATTTTGGCTACAGACTCCCTCATATTAAGTTCTCTCCATTTAGTTCATTTATCTAAAATGAAATAAGTTAGAGAGAAAAAGTCAAGAACCACAGGATTTCACTCATACAAGGGATATAAAACTGAAAGCAACAACTGAACAAACAGAAAAAACAAACAAAAACTCATAGACACAGTCAATAGTTTGGTGGTTACCAGCGGGGAGGAGAGTTGGGGATAAAATAAAGGGTAAAAAGGGACTATTATATGGTGGTGAAAGAAAAGTTTTCTTTGGGTGGTGACCACAGTGTCAATATTCACATGATGGATCATAGAAATATACACTTGAAGCCTATATATTTTATTGTCCAATGTCTCCCCAATATATTGATGAAGATAAAAATAGAAAAGATTACTTATTAATGATATCACAAATATTGTTGTGTATAGAATTCTGGAGCCTAATGCATATTTCCTCCAGAAACAATGGCTCAATATTATCCAAATTAAATTTTGTTGTGACTCTAATATATAACATGGCTATTGCAAATATAAGACATGTGTACATGGAGAGGCAAAAGTTGGCTTACAGTTGTGAGTACATGAAACACAGAGCTGATATTTGTATTACTATTTATTTATAAAGTATTACGTTATTTAAAAAATAAATGTAAATTTACTTTTGCCACACCCTGTATTTATAATTAGTAACAAAGAACTTTTCGAAGCTAACAAGACAAAAAAAATTCTAAAAAAGGTAAAATAAATTAAAGATATTTTTATAAGATAACTGACAAAACTTTATTCCTTTTTTGTTAATTTGCTACATCCATACATTTTCTCAATTTTAATATTAAGACAATTGTTTCTGAGCAAATCAGAGTGTTGAGCCAATGTTCCTATGTGCATGTTGTGTTTAAATCTGCACTTTAATAGGTTTAGTTTTGCTTGAGTGTTTTACAATAAATTGAATTTTATTCACATTTTTTCCCAGTAATATTCACAATATCATTCCATTTATTTTTCATAAATACTTCATGAAGAACTTGGTGAATTATTTCTGAGAAGCCTTAATTCCCATACCCCAGCAAAATAACTGTTTACTTAGTGTCTTTAGCATTGTCTGCCTTTTTCCTTATATGACATCCATAGGCTCACTTTTGACATAAAGAATTCTCCAAATTCAGTTCCACCTATTTATTTTTCAACTTTCTTACTTTTCCATTTATTCTGTTTTCCAACTCATACCTGTAGTTCCATATAAATTTTGGTATTTTCTGCTTCCAGAGACTTGCCATATGTTCAGAACAAATCTTGTGAGGTGACGATTAGGCACATGATTGATTTCTACTCTATATACAGGTTCCATAAAATATCAATGAAATTAGGACTCTGCCTTTTTATTGTTGTTGTTCAAGGAGATCATTTTATGCAAACTTTGAGTAATGAGAGAAGATTCCAAATGTGATGAGCATAGTACCTTTCTCCATTGCCCTGTCAAACACTATATAAACCCTGATGTCTTTTTTTGATGACGTGTGACCTTGAGCCTCATTCTTTCAACTCTCCGAAGATCAGAATTGGTAAAACTTAGCCAAGTTTTACCATTTATATGCATATTTTATATAATATATTTTGGTCAATTTCCTCTCAACTACATTAAATGTTCTTCATTCCAAAAACTGCAATACCTTTACATGTTGCAGAAGGATGCTCCATCTTAAGGAAAGTTATGTATAATGAATCTTTCACTCAGACCTCTATGTGGATGACATGAGAAGCTGTTTGTCAGAGCATGATCCACAAAGGATTTTGCATGGAGCCCTGATAGAATCATTAAATGCTTTATGCCCTCCTTTTCTAATGTTATATTTCAAGTATGTTTTAGATTAGAGACACAATGAAATTTAGGAAGAGAGCTCCTTATGTTCATAAGCAGGATTCATGTGATTATTGATCTGGATAGAGGTGTTGATAGCAGGGTCCTTTTACTGTATAAAGGCTTCTGCATCACACTTTAAGTACCTGCCTCAGGTATGTGCACTTTATCCATATTAATCTGAAAAAGTGGAAGGCCCAAAGCAAGACCAAAGATTGCTATTGTTCATCCCAGAGGAAGTTCTCCTTTAGGTCTGTCATACTTTCATTTCCCATCTCATTCCTTTTGAACAAATGGGTATGGAGATGGAGGGTGACACTGGCTCTCATTTGTCATGGACTTAGGATCCTTTGGCTCCACTTCTTAGAAATGTGGGTCAGTTTCCATTAAAGAATAAACAGCAGAAGGGTTTCAAATTAGCGTCCTCTTCTCTTCCTGACATTGTGCCTTCATTATGTTTGAACAGTTTTTTTCTTTCTTTCACTCTTTCAGATAAGGATGACCAGGATAAAGGCAAGTCCCATGAAGGTATTTCACTTTGCACTTACTCAGTTTCATGTGTTTATTTTGCATTTGTTTTCAACTCTCAAGGATCATCTTCCTTACTCCACCACACACACGTACACCACTTTTTCATGTATTGCTATGATTTCAACATAAGTTTACCATCTTCATTTCTAATTCAGTTTCCCCAATGATTATTTCTTCCATGGTCCTGTCCTTGTAATGTATGCAAACAATTCCTCTCTGACTAGAAAATTTTAGTAATTACTTTCCTACAAAATTTTGCTGTTTTTAAAGTGTCTGATCTGAAAGTTTTGTGCAATATAGCTCCAGGCCATACAATGTAGACCACCCGCTCCAGACCACTTCCAAATTCCTGCACAGCCATTACTGCCATTTCATACTTCATCTCCCTTTCCCAAGAATTTCTTATGATAAACTTTATTCGGGCATGAATTAAAATCAGGCTCACATACAATAAAGTTATGTATGAACCATTTGACAAAAGATTGAGGATAGAGGTACCCATTAACCTAATCTGCATAACCAATAAGAGCAGTAGTTCAGGATTCTATGAATCACTGATTGTGGCAGTTTTACTAGCATATGACTAGCTACCACAATAGAAGACCTGACTATATATCTTAGGCTGCAGCAAGGGGTCTTGTGAAGATAAAACCTTATTCTTTTGGATGAGCACTATCCCATTGTATATAGGTGACAGTTTATCTTTACGCAAGCAAAATGAAAGGACGCTTGGCTTGTTTCCATATCTTGCCCACTGTGACTAATGCTACGGTGAACATAGGAGTGCATATATCATTGGGAAGAAATATTTTTCAGATTGTGGGGCATAGGTATCCATAGAAGGTGTTATTGGTCATATGGGATCTCTAACCTTCATGTTTGAGGAACCTCCATACTGATTCCCATAGTAGCTGTACCAGTTTACATTCCCACCAGCAGCACATGAGGCTTTCCTTTCTCCACAACCTCTCCAACACTTATTATTACTAGTCTTGTTGATAACAGCCACTCTAACAGGTGTGAGGTGGTATCTCCAAAATGAGCACACAAGACAATCAAACAAAACCTCACCGAGACAGGAAAGCATGGAACAGACTCAGGATTCTCAGAGGCATGACGGTAGGTGTGTGTGTGTGTGAGTGTGTGAGTGT